TAGTGCCCCCCTCCCTGTGTCCATGTGTTCTCATTGTTCAACACCCGCCTATGAGTGAGAACATGCGATGTTTGATCTTCTGCCCTTCTGTCAGTTTGCTGAGAATGATGGTTTCAGTGTCAACTTTTAATTGTAGATGCAAACCAGTGTAGACTGGACCACGTGGAGAGATTCTGGGACCTTAGCAGTGGGTTAACAGAGAAGGGAGGAAGAGGAGAAGACCAAGAATTGATAGAGACAGTGATGGAGGGTCCGACCATCACTCAGAGGGACGAAGTGACTAGGAGGGGAGTGACAGCAGGAAGATCTAGGCTGCACAATGGTCAGAGTCCTGCAAGGAACAGCAGCCTTGCACTTCAGAAGACCCCAACCTGCACCCTTGAAAGAGGGGCCGGTTTCCTGGAGGAAAGCACTGGAGAGCATTAGGGAGGCTAGGCCCGCTCCTGGGCTGCAGTTCATGAGGAAGGGTCTCATCCCAGCAGGAAAACTCAAGTACAGCCAGAAAACCAAAGAAGGCACCTTGCATATAGATTGGGCAGATAGGAAGTGCGAGGTGGGTGGAGATGCACCTCCAGAGGCATACTAAATGCCCCAAAGCCCCACCTAAAATCTACTCAGAATGCCCCCCCAGGTGTAGTCAGGACTGGTTCCAGAATAGAGATGCACCGAGCCCCTTCAGTAGGCCTTTTCACAGCCTATTTATTTATTTTCCTTTCTTCACAGTAACATCACAGGAAATGTATTAATGTATAAATAAGCTGTCATGGGGTCGATTCCTCCTGCTCTGGACCAAATTGAAGGTTTTAATGTACTGACCTAACATCCTTTCTATCCCAGAGATATGTCAGTTACAGAAGAGATGCTTTATAATTAAGCGCCCCCTACATCCCAGCAATGACCCATGACTAAAGTTATGGGGATGATCATTCCCAGTAGCAACCAAAAAAATGTAAATTCCATAAGAAGAAAATTATCAAGAAGTATATAAGATCTATATAGAAAAAAATAAAAGTAAGAAAGCCTTGCTATAGAACATAAAGGGAAATGTGAATAGACAGAGACATTAACATATTCCTGGATGGGAATGCTCAATACTATAAAGATGATAAAAGAAGGTTCCCGAGGGGAGCTGTATGTGCTGTATATTAGAACATATTACAAAGCTACAGAACTAAAACTATTAGGTTGGTGCAAAAGTAATTGCGGTTTTTGCCATTATTTTCAAAGCTGGATTCACTTTTGCACCAACCTAATATATGATTTAGGCGTATCATATGCCAATGTCATAATGCAGAATTCTGAAACAGACTCCTTTATAAAGGGAAGTTAAGTTTGTTAAAAGGGGAATGATAAGTAAGTGGGGAGAGGAGACACTTCCATTGTATTGAGACCACACTGAAGATCACTTTAAAAATATAAAATATGTAAATGTCTAATGGATTAAAGACTCTAACAGAGAAAATGCTTTGTAAAAACGCTATAAGAAAATATTTTGGGCTGGATGCAATGGCACATGCCTGTAATCCCAGCACTTTGAGAGGCTAAGGTGGGAAGATTGTTTGAGCCTAGGAGTTCAAGACCAGCCTGGGAAACATACTGGGACCCCATGTTGACAAAAAATGTTTAAAAATTATCTGGGCATGGTAGTGCATGCCCGTGGTCCCAGCTAATTGGGAAGCTGAGGTGTGAGGATCGCTAGAGCCCAGGAGGTTAAGGCTGCAGTGAGCTACAATCCCACCACTGCACTCTAGCCTGGGAGACAGAGTGTGACCATGTCTCAAAAAAAAAAAAAGAAAAAAAGTTATACACATAAAGTTGCCTGTTTGTCTCAAGCCAGATAATATAACTAAAGACATTCAAAACTGCAGGTCCTTGGAATTATGTAATTCTCAAATCTAGGAATTATTGGCATAAGCAAATCATATGCTCTGAAGGGCATCACTCAGCTGCCTCACTTTGTCAAAGGCTTTTAACTAATGTAATGTGCTACAAAATGTGTTGTCACTGTTTTCGTCTTCTATGTTTGTCTATGGTGTCTTTTCAAGTAGAGGAAATTGTCTAGCTTCTAATTACATAAAATCCAACTGAAGAACAAAGGGAAGCTATGAGATTAACAAAACAGAACTGTAGACACAGCCTTGGTATTCTTTGATATGCCTCAAAATTACACCTGTCAACACCAAAGTTACTAAAAATGTCCAGGCCACAAGCCAGAGTTGTGGCACACAGCGTGTATCCCAGAGGGCTGCTGATAGCAATAGTCTGTGTAGGCTCTGAAGGTAAAGAAGGCTCAGGTGCACATTTTGATCATGATGCTGGAGAAGAAAATAGTACCTGAGCACATGGGTATGTGCTTGCTGTTGGCAGCTTGTTGAAATCAGCTTTTTTAGATCACCCTACAATTGACTGCATCTTTTCTTTTTTTTTTTTTTTTTTTGAGATGGAGTCTTACGCTCTCACCAGGGCGGTGTGTAGTGTCATAATCTTGGCTCATGGCAACCTCCACCTCCCGGGTTCAAGCAATTCTCCTGCCTCAGCCTCCCAAGTAGCTAGGATTACAGGTGCATGCCACCACACTCAGCTAACTTTTGTATTCTTAGTAGAGACGGGGTTTCACCATGTTGGTCAGGCTGCTCTAGAGCTCCTGACCTCGTGATCCGCCTGCCTCGGCCTCCCAGAGTGCTGGGATTACAGGCGTGAGCCACCACGCCCGGACTGATAGCATCTTAAAAGCAAATAAATGTCACTCAAGTAGACAAACAATTAAATCCCCAATATAGATAGAACTCATTCAATTTAAAAAAAGACAAATGGTCCAATTTTGTAAAGGATAAAGGCGATGAACAAACCCACCGCAAGGCCGGGCGTGGTGGCTCACACCTGTAGTCCCAGCCCTTTGGGAGGCTGAAATGGTTGGATCACTTGGATCAGGAGTTTGAGACCAGCCTGGGCAACACGGCGAAACCCTTCTCTACCAAAAACACAAAAATTAGCCAGGTGTGACGGTGCATGCCTGTAGTCCCAGCTACTTGAGAGGCTGAGGTGGGAAAATCACCTGAGCCCAGGAAGTCGAGGCTGTAGTGAGTCACGAACGCACCACTGCACTCCAGCCGAGGTGACAGAGTGAGACCCTTTCTCAAAAAAAAAAAAAAAAAAAAAAAAACAACAACTAAAAAAAAAAAAAAAAAAAAA